AACCCTAAACCCTGAACCCTGAATCTTGACGAAAACGGCCCTTGAAGAAACATGAGCCCTCGACCCTGCTAGTGCCATTGAGATGACGTAAATCCTGCATTACCTTAGGGTTTAGGGTTTAGGGTTTAGGGTTTAGGGTTTAGGGTTTAGGGTTTAGGGTTTAGGCTAAACTAAGAGAGTTATGGCCTATTCCTTATTATGGGTAATGCAGGATTTATATCATCAGCCGTATAGAAGCCTCAATCTGGTTTTCGGCTTTAGCCCTTAAGAAAGTATATGGGGCCCAAAGCCCTACTCTCATCACCTTACACCTTAAACCCTAAGCCCTTAAAGCCCCAATAGATCCGTCATAGAACCACGAAAGGAAACCCGACAACCTTAGCTCTTACATTCTAGAACTTATAGCCACCCTGACGGAGAAGCCTTTGTAGGAACCCTGAAAGGAACCCTAGTCTACCTAGGCCGATAGACGATTCTTATTACAGGATCCTAACCATAAAAATAGGTCACCCAAAAAGTTACTGCATTTAAGGGTCTAGGTAGTTATCAGGGCCCCTAAAGCCTAAACCCAAAACCCTAAACCCAAAACCCTAAACCCTAAACCCTAAACCCTACAGCCTAAACCCTAAAAACCTTCAAGGGCCCCAGGGTTACTTCCCGCCCACATCCCGAGATATGGCGTGGGCTACACGCTCACCATTGCGAAGTCTCCCCAGCAATCTGCTCTTCGACCGAATTGCAGGGTTTAGGGTGTAGGGTTAGGGTCTAGGGTTTAGGATTTAAACCCTAAACCCTAAACCCTAAAGCCTAAACCCTAAACCCTAAACCCTATTAGGGTTTGGGGTTTAGTTTTTGTTTTGGATGTGGGCTTTAGGGTCCCTAAACCCTACACCCTACGCCCCCTAAACCCTCAAACCTATGGGGTTTTGGGGGGGGAAACCCTAAACCCTAAACCCTAAACCCTAAACCCTAAACCCTAAACCCTAAACGCTTTTTGAGGGGGCTTTAGGGTTTAGCCTTCAAGGGTTTGGGCACAGCCCTCCGCGAGCTGAGGATGCTAAAGGCGGTTCAGGGCTTAGGGTCTAGGATTTAGGGCTTTAGGGTTTAGAGTTTAGGGTCTGGGGTCTAGGGTTGAGGGTTTCGGGTTTAGGGTCTAGAGTCTAGAGTTTGGGGTCTGGGGTCTAGGGTTGAGGGTTTCGGGTTTAGGGTCTAGGGTCTAGGGTTTAGGGTCTAGGGCCAAGGGTTTAGGGTCTAGGGTTTAGGGTCTAGGGTCTAGGGTTTAGGGTCTAGGGCCTAGGGTTTAGGGTCTAGGGTTTCGGGTCAAGGGTTTAGGGTTTAGGGTTTTGAACGGAGCAGAATAGAATAGAATAAGCCAGAACAGAGTACGACAAAATAGAAGGGAACTGAATAGAAGACCCAAGCGCCGAACCCCAAACCCCAAACCCTAAACCCTAAAGCCCTAAGCCCTATAATCAATCCAAAGCCTTAAGTTGCAGAGGCGGAGCAGAGTCGCACTTTGGACTTGCTGATCCACTCGCACTGCTCCCGCGCCGAGCTCCTCAGCGATGTGGGTGCGCCGGCAGAGGGCTTTTGGGTTTAGGGGTTGAGGGTTTAGGGTTTAGGGGCTTAGGGTTGAGGGGTTTAGGGTTTAGGGATTCTAGGCTCCCCAGTAGTACCCTTTTGCCCTTTTTGTTTGTGGGGCCCCTTATTCAACCCAAAGAGTAGGAAAAAGGGTGCCCTTATTGTTAGTGGTCTACTGGGGAACCTATTAGGGGTGATTAAGGTTGCAGGGTTCAGTCTAGGACATTTTCAGGTGGGTAGTTACCCCTATAGGAGCCTTATAGAAGGTCTGTATACCTCGTAGAAGCCTTATAGAAGCCCTAAATACCCTAAACTCCCCACCCTTTAATTCAGGATCGAGTTTCAGCTTTCAGGTTTAGGGCCCTAAACCCTAAACCCTAAACCCTAAACCCTAAACCCTAAACCCTAAACCCTAAACCAAAAAGTGGCAGGGTTTACGGCTTCCGCGCTTTCGGGGTGTCGGGGGTTGCAGCCTCAGGTCCCATCAAGAAGGAGTTTTCCTTTGGGACTTCGGCTGGACATTTACTGTAGGGGCCTAATACTTCGAGTAGGGTTTTAAGGGGCTCCTTGTTGTAAGTATAGTATAATACCCCCCCCCGAAACCCTATGTTAAACCCTAAACCCTAAACTGGCATAGCCAAAGGGACCTGAGATTTGTTCAGCGTGGGGTTGTAGACCTTTGGACCTCAATGGATGATTAGATAAATATAACTGCATGCATGGATGCATGGATGCATGCATGGATGGGTGGGTGGATGGATGGATGGATGGATGGATGGATGGATAATGGATGGATGCGTGGACGGATGGATGCATGCATGCATGCATGGATGGATGGATGGATGGATGGATGATGCATTGAGCCACTGCGAAACATAGATAGAGCTATATAAAGCTATATAAAACTATATAGAACAGTTTAAAAATGTATAGAACTGTACAGGAGTATATAGAACTATACCTACAACAGTCCATGCAACTATATTTCACTGCCATAGTTAGAACAGGCTTTTTAGGGTGTATTGTGGCATCTTGATGTGGGACCTGATATAGGGGATTTCACGCAGAGTGTGCTGCTGCCGGGCCCCCAGTCTCACAGCGTTGGTCTCGGGGCTGAGGGGTTTAGGGTTTCGGGGTGTTTAGGTATCAGGGTGACGCAAGCTCAGCATGACTGATTACACCCGAATTTTTCAAGAACCTCTGTGGCATCTACAGTTTCTGGTGATAGAAGCCATGGTGGACTGCGGCTGCTGCAACGATGTGGCTGTGAGCCCCAACCTTCAACTATTCTATGGCGTGGTATGTATCCTGTATGTCCTGTCCTCTTTAGCAGAGTTCCTTGCTGCTGGCATGGACGGTCCGGACACGATGCTGGCCTACATGGTTCTGGCGGCTCTCTTTGTGATCATGCTGCTCTGGATCCTGATGCTAGCCTCCCGCTGCTGTGCGCCCTGCTGCTGCCGAGAGGCAGTACCAGATGTCTCGCCGACGTGCCCGCTGGGCCCTTGCAAGACATCAAACCCGAAGTGCCTCGATTACCCTTTCATGATCGGTATGGGAGGTGAGGTTGTCACAGAAGGCACTCGCCGCGTGGTCTTGCCTGCCTGCCTTTATACCAACTTCATTCGAGGCGAATGGGACTTCGGTGCGTTGCAGCTTTGTCGCCTTCTTTGGGTGACGTTGCTCATCTTGGGTACCTTCACTTCTCTCAAAAAGTACCAGCTCATGAGGAAGATGGCGCTGCACAGAATCTGGGCTGTTAAAGTTCCTTAGTTTAAGTTACCAACATAAGGATCTAGAATGAATGATCTATTTCGTCAGGCCTTCAGGCTAGGCCCCTAAACCCTAAGCCCTAAACGCTGAACCCTAAACCCTAAACCCAGAACCCTTAAAGGAACCCTGAAATAACCCGAAACCCGAAACCCGAAACCCTAAACCCTAAACCCTAAACCCTAAACCCTAAACCCTAAACCCCGAAACCCTGACAAAAAGCCCAGGAATGGATCTTTCTAGTCCCAAGGATCCATGCAGTCCATGCTCCGTGGTGCTTGGGGATCCCTGCAGCTTAGGATACCTTGGAAGCTTTTTGTTTGCGGGGGGCGTTTAGGGTCTAGGGTTTTTTGGGTTTAGGGTTTANNTTAGGGTTTAGGGTTTTAGGGGATCCTTGGAAACGATTCTTTTGGTTGCCAACATCCTTCAACAACGGCTAAAACTTCTTTTTGATTCTGGCAACTATACCAAGTTCACCCCAAACCCTAAACCTTAAACCCTAAACCCTAAACCTTAAACCCTAAACCCTAAACCCTATTCTAACTATTGAGGCCCTC